CTTCTTCTCATCTCAAGAACCACAGGGCCAGGAAAGATGAAACTCATGTGGAAGCATCCTCAGGTAGTGTACATTCAAGTTTGTTCAAATCATGACCCCCGGGGGTAGGGCGGGGGCCACAATGGGCGATCAAATTTTTACATAGAAATATATAGGAAAAATCTTTTAAAATCTTCTTCTCAAGAACAGCAAAGCCATGATGAGTCATATTTATATGGAAGCATCCTCAGGTAGTGTAGATTCAAGTTTGTTCAAACCATGACCCCTGGGGGTAGGGTGGGGCCACAATGGAGGATCAAATTTTTACATAGAAATATATAGGAAAAATTTCTAAAAAATCTTCTTCTCAAGAACAGCAAAGCCATGATGAGTCATATTTATATGGAAGCATCCTCAGGTAGTGTAGATTCAAATTTGTTCAAATCATGACCCCCGGGGGGTAGGGTGGGGCCACTATGGAGGATCAAAGTTTTACATAGAAATATATAGGAAAAATCTTTAAAAATCTTCTTCTCAAGAACAGCAAAGCCATGATGAGTCATATTTATATGGAAGCATCCTCAGATAGTGTAGATTCAAGTTTGTTCAAATCATGACCCCAGGGGGTAGGGTGGGGCCAAAATGGAGGATCAAAGATTTACACAGAAATATATAGGAAAAATCTTTAAAAATCTTCCTAAGAGTCATATTTATATGGAAGCATCCTCAGGTAGTGTAGATTCAAGTTTGTTCAAACCCGGGGGTAGGGCGGGGCCGCAATGGACTATCAAAGTTTTACATAGAATATATAGGAAAAATCTTCTCAGGAACAGCAAAGCCCTGATTTGTCATATTTATATGGAAGCATCCTCAGGTAGTGTAGATTCAAATTTATTCAAATCTTGACCCCCGGGGTAGGGCGGGGCCACAATGGAGGATAAATGTTTTACATAGAAATGTATAGGAAAAATTTAAAAAATCTTCTTCTCAGGAACAGCAAAGCCCTGATTGATCATATTTATTTGGAAGCATCCTCAGGTAGTGTAGATTCTATTTTGTTCAAATCATGACTTCCGTGGATAGGGTGGGGCCACAATGGAGGATCAAAGTCTTAAATAGAAATATATAGGAAAATATCTTCTTCTGAAGAACTGCAAACCATGATTAGTCATTTTGATTCAATTTTGTTCAAATGATGACCCCCAGGGGTAGGGTGGGGCCACAATGGAGGATTGAAAGTCTTACATAAGAACATATAGAAAAAATATTTCTTCTCAATTTCAGAAAAGCTATGTTTAGTCATATTGATACGGAAGCATCCTCAGGTAGTGTTGATTCAAGTTTGTTCAAATGATGACCCCTGGGATAGGGAGGAGCCACAATGGGGGATCAAATTTTTACAAAGGAATATATGGGAAATTTTTTTAAAAACTTCTCAAGTACAACAAAGCCATTTGTTATATTGACATGGAAGCATCATCAGGTTGTTTAGAATTCATGCCCCCCCCCCCCCCCCCAGTAATCTTTTCAATACTGAACTGATTTGTGCTTTTGCCTAGCCAATGTGCTCAGGTGAGCGATGTGGCCCATGGGCCTCTTTTTTTTTTTACATATTTGAAAAATCATATGTAAAATTGTAAATTAATCCTGGAATTTTTTTAAAATGACTGAATGTCCTCTGTTTTTTGTTGAATTTCCGTTTCTAATATTACTAATATTTTTTTTCAAAGGCAATGCATTCAGCGATAAGAAATGAAATAATTAACAATTAAACATTCTGAGAGTATTGCATTAGCAATACTAGTCCCCTACCAGCAAGTGTAATCTGGTTCCCGTTAAAATTGAAAATGCCATAATTCCGTCAAAAATCAATGAAACGGAACGAAATGCAAACTTGATCTATAACTCATCAAGGTAAAGTCACAAACCAAAAATCAGCTCAATATCTGCAAGCGTTTAGAAAAAAATTGTGGAAAACCCTGAAAAATTGAAAAGGTCATAATTCCGTCAAAAATCATTAAAGCAGAATGAAATGCAAGCTTGTTCTGTTACTCATCAAGATACACTCATATACCAAAAATCAGCTCAATATCTGCAAGCGTTTAGAAAAAAAGTGTGGAAAACCAAGTGGGACAGACAGACAGATGGACAGCTAGACAGACTGACAGACAGACTCGGAGAAAACCTATAGTGCCCTTGGGTTTCACCGGTAGGGGGTTGATAAATAATTATTTTGAATAAAATAAAATATCTGATGAAAATTATAATTTAAATAAACTTCATACACAATAAAGATCCGAGGTACTCCAAATGAAAAGTACAGAGATGTTCCGGAAAGGTGAAATAAAGGATGTGATAAAGGGTGAAATAAAGCAGACCTGCCTATCCTTCCACTTTTGGCGTAATTTTTCCACTTTTTACCATAGAATTACGCTGTTACGCCATGGAAATTGAATTTTACGCTTTTAAATATTTTTCCTAGACAACTGAATGAAACGCTAACTTGGGAGTTAAAGTATAGACTTTCATAAATAAAAACGAGAAGAAGGTAATTAATACTAATTAAAAGAGGGTTTCGGTTTTTACGATACAAACAACATACGTACTATACTTTGTAGTTATGCCTTTTAAACGGGTGGTATGCCAAAAATTAGAAGAAAAAACTATTGAATGATATGTGCAATAAGTAAAGTCAGTTTAATTTTCAATTCAGTTTATTCTTACATTGCTTTAAAACAACATAGAGACAAGTAAATGTAAGGAAAACAAAAATGAAATAGCGCAATAATGCAGAATTTGTATTAACATGGAAATAAAACTGAATTTTGTGATTTTCTAGAAATTTTCCAAAAGTTCATTAGGCATGTAAGTAAAAGTTTGATACGACTGCATTTAGGATACCAGTTTTACAACACATGGACTTCTTGTCAATAAATGATTTGAAAACAAAACATTCATGCTTGCTTTGTTCAATGATGTATAACCATCATGGTAGCTTAGTCGGTAGAGCGCTCGCTCCGTGATTGGAATATCGTGAGTTCGCATCTCGGCCGCGACTGACCTAAATCGATAAAAATAGGTAGCAACTGTCCCTTCGCCAAGCGCTCCGCGCTTTGAAGTGAAAGTTGCGGGTCTTTCGGGTGAGACCTTAAAAACCGAGGCCCCATGTTACGGTAGGCTATGGCACGATAAAGAACCCTCACTGCTCAATGGCCCTGAGTTCCGAGTAAAGGTCTAAATTTGAAGCCCTTCACCGGTATATGGTGACGTCTCTATATGAGGGAATAATATAGTATCATTGCAAAACATCAATCTAGGGAAACATAAAGGATTACGCCTTCACCTCTGAAATTCCGCCAAAATGAGTATTGAAATTACACCCTCGCAATGAAAAGGGTAGGCAGGTCTGAATAAAGGATGCTGATACAGGGAGTGTAATACAGAGTGCGTGTCTATGTTCATATCAGGGATGCGTAAATCCTGTATTATGTAACAAATATAATAATGCAAATTATGCAGTTTATCATTTCTAGAAATACAAAAAACACATCTACTTTCTTAACACATTAAAAAATTTCTGCAACTTGTGATACTAAACTCCAGTTGAAATGTTTAACTAAATTTTTTCAATTCATTTTATGTGAAAATGTTTCACATAAAATAGTTATACATTTCAGCAAAACATTTCCAGAACAAGCTAATTCAGAGAATTTGTGTTCCCCGCTTAGGGAAAAAAGAAGAGCATGCACATTTCGGGGGGGGGGGGGGTCACACTGCCCCCCTGTATTTGTAGAATTATTAAATGTATACATGTATATTGAAGCAAATAAAAAAACCCAATATAGATATAAAGATTTGATCGCTTATTCTTTAATATGTGTATAGAAGATTCTTTTTAATATACTATATACAGAATATTCATCACACTGTAATGATGATTTTATGAGTTTGTACACGCCAGACATCATAACTTTTTCATTTCACATGTTGAACAGTATCATTTAGTAAATCCAAAAAAAAAAATTAAGAAAAAAGAGAATCGTTCGGGGTTTGAACTCGGACCTCTCGCTTGCAAAGCGAGCAACATACCACTAGACCACGGAGGCACTTGATCATACAGAGATTAAATGCAAACATTAAGTCACATATAATGTTTATGTTCACGTTTGATATTGTCAAAATTTTACACAATAAATGTTGTTTAATTTAGCCTTTACTAAACAGTTCTAATAGATGTAATTAGAATATAAAGTCCGCCGACAACCTGTATTATACGTAATAAATCTCGACAATGCCCCTATGCTAAAAATAGTGCCAAGCAACTTTTAATAAATAAATAAATTTTTTAAAAAACGGGACGGGACACTTGGCGATGGGCGAGAGAGGCCATAGGGAGTTATGGTATAAAATTTCATTGCAAAAGCTCAAAAGCTTCTTGAGATATCGCCCGGAAACGAATGTGTTACACACAGACAGAATTTATAAATTTTTGACCTTGAACTTTGACCTTTTGACCTCAAAATCAATAGGGGTCTTCCTTAGGCCACAGGGAGTTGTTATGTAAAATTTCATTGCAAAAGCTCAAAGAATTCATGAGATATCGCGCGGAAACGAAAGTGTTAAAACAGACAGAATTTATGAATTTTTGACCTTTTGACCTCAAAATAAATAGGGTTCTTCTTTAGGCCATAGGGAGTTGCTATGCAAAATTTCATTGCGAAAGCCCAAAGGGTTGTCGAGAGTTACAGACAGAAATACAGATTGACGGACGGACAGACAGACCTAAATTACTATCCCCCACTTTCAGTGAAAGCTGGGGACAAAAAATGATCAAAGTAATTTTTTTCATCTTTGTGAATTTTCTAAATACATGTACTTGTATTCTCATGTCCACAAAACAACAGGGTGTTTGATGCATGTATCTGGCTAAATCCTTATTGATTTTCTTTTCAATGGATTAGAAATCATTGTATATAAGTTATTAAAGGTGTATTTTCTGTGATTTCCATTTTTAGACATTCTCCAATGGAACATTCTGAAAACCAAAGTTATCCAAGGAATCAGGTACATGTGTGTAAAACAAAAGTGGAAAATACAGAGGCATTGTCAAACATTGGAAAACATGTTGCATTTTCTTTCGAATAAAAAATATTTTAACAAAATCTACCTTCAAATAAGAGACATTGGAAGAGCTTGATTAATGAATATATCATACATTTTAGGCACAAACATCACCTTATAAGGACATTCCAGGTAAAATGTTTGTTATTCAGTATGATTAATGTGAAGAGCCCTTATATAATTTGAAAAATAATTTAAGATAATGCTTGAGGGTGGATGGGTTTTACAATTTGTTTTGATAGCCTTTCTATACAATAACTTAATTTATACCATAAATGTTAGATGATGCAAAAACTGTGTTAAATTTTTATGAAAACTGCAGAAAGAACTTATTAGTTCACTGGAGCTGTGTGGTGACGTGAGCTTTTCTGACATTTGTCCTTTGTACTATGTCAACTTTTGACCATCGTCGCTAGCTAAGGGTTTTCGTTCTGCTCTGCTCCCAATAAACTCTATTAATGAAAGCTCAAGTGAGCTTTTCTGATCACATTTTGTCTGGCATTCATCTGTCTGTCTGTAAACTTTTCACATTTTGACTTCTTCTCAAGAACCACTGTACTTATTTCAGCCAAACTTGCCAAAAGTAGGCTTGGTTAAAGGGGGATTCGATTTTGATCAAATGAAGAGCCACGCCCTCTTTTAAAGGGAGATAATTAAGAATTAGTGAAAATTTGGTGTCATCTTTCAAAAATCTTCTTCTCAAGAACCATTGAGCCAGGAAAGTTGAAACTTATGTGAAACCTTCATTACATAGTGTAGCTTCAATTTTTTTCAAATCATGACCCTGGGGGTAGGGTGGGGCCACAATGGGGGATCAAAGTTTTACCTAGGAATATATAGGAAAAATCTTTTAAAAATCTTCTTCTCAAGAGCAAAGCTTTGATGTGTCATATTGATATGAAAGCATCCTCTGGAAGTTTAGGTAGATTCAAGTTTGTTCCAATCATGACCCTCCAGTTGAGACCTTAAAAACTGAGGCCCCTTGTCACAGTAGTCTTTGGCAAGATAAAGAACCCTCACTTCTCAATGGCCCTGAGTGTTGAGTAAAGGTCTAAATTTGAAGCCCTAGCTTCACTGATATATGGTGACATCTCTATTTGAGTGAAAAATTCTCGAACAGGAAGTAAAACAACATACAATCAATCAATATAACTGGGCACAGAAGTAGACTACACTAAGATACATAACTTTTTTTTATCAGTTTTTGATCCTGGTGAATGTTGTTGCCATGGTTACTAAACGTAAAAATTTCTGTGAAATTCTTTCAAAACACAACTACTACAGTTTTAGTCCGATTACAATATAACTTGATACACAAGTAAACTACAATCAGGTACATAACAGTGTTACCATGGTTACTAAAAATAAAAATTTCTGTGAAGTTCTTTCAAAATGCAATTCTACTACAGTTTCATCCAATTGCAATTAAACTTGACTTAGAAAGACACTAAACCAGGGAAAGAATCATTATTTGAATTATATCAAAATTATAGACATTCATGCCTTATTTTCCCAGGTTCTTTGTTTATTATCCTTAAAATCACAAATTCCCTTTCTTGCTCTTATGTGAGTGATTTACATGTACCCCATAGATCACCTACACATCTATTTAATTTTTCTTTTCTAGAAAAACTGGTTTCACCACCAGCTCAGCTGAAAGCGCACAGGTAAAAATGCTGTTTATATACTGTAAAAGCAGAAATATTCGTTTGGGATTAAATTTCGTTTATTTCGTTGTAAACAATTATCAACGAAATTAAATCCCTCATGAAATTTTTATATGACTATATGTATTGAATAGAGTTACACTCAAAACAACGAAATTTAATGCCCACAAAAACCTTTATAGATGACAATTCAGTGAAATTTTATCCACATGAAAATTTGTGCTTCTACTGTAATCCTGCCTTCCAAGATTAGTTTTAGAGGAACAATGTAAATTGCAATTCTTTCTTTTCAGAAATTTTACTTTGTAATTAAAAAAAATGTACTTTGTGATATTTTTGCTAAGTAAATTTCATGCCCAGAAATGTTGCTACTGTTACTGATAGCTTTTCATCTTGATGGTTTAATTGAAGGCTATATTCCAAATTAAAAGTCAAGGTTATAGGCTCTTGAAGTATAATATCTCGTTAGTTTACAAGTACTGGTGTAAATCATCAAATTACTCAGAGTCAAAATCATTTAGACAAGGTTGAGGTCACAAATGTTAATATTGTACAGTCAAAATTCTATCTTTAAAATTTTTATTTAAATATATGCATTAAGACAGCTAGCTTAGTGCATGATGGTAAATATTTTTAAGTCACCTGGGTCACTCAAGTGATGTACTGCAATGTGCTTTTTGTCCAGTTCAAATTTTTGATTTGTTCTCTAGAACCACTGGACCAAAACATCTTTGGGAGATGAAAATTTAATTTGTTGAAAAGACCTTATCAGTCTTTTAACAATGTTGTCATGATCTGATGTAGATAAGAAATTGGATGTTAGTTTTCAATGTACATGTATTTATGAAATGAGTTTATTTTACAGATCCATGCCTCATCCTATCCCAATATGATAAGAGCATGTTGAAAAAAAAAAGACAAATATATACTAGATGCCAACTATTTTGTTTTTGTTTGGTAGATTTTTTTTCAAAAATTTTCAAAATGCATTTAAATAAATTATGAGTTTATTGTTGCATTATTTGTCTTTAATTATGGTAACCTCATTTAGGTTGTGTAGGAACTATGCATTTGAGCTCAGATAACCTTAAATCTTGAATGAGCATTTCCTTAATTATTAATTTTTTCACAGAAAAGAGCTTGTGAAATTTATTGGTAAAGGGACCACCAATTATAATGGTACATATTGAGAACAATGAAATCTGAAAAGTAAAAGGTATTCCGAAGGAAAGATGATCCAGAAACGTATTGAAAACTAACAAAATATAACATTTGATTACTAACTTTCGGTAGAGTAGATAGCAGAATTTTCAAAATACTAACGAGCTAGCTAGAGGTCCGGCCCACAGACACTTATTTATGTAATAATCTTTTAGACCCTAGTATACACAAGGTATCTATTGTGGTCGAGACAAATTTTCCCGTGGGCGAGCAGAGTACGGAGATAAAAGGAATTAAAGATGAGCATGCCATATATGGTTTTGAAGATAAATTATCGTAGATGATAAACAGTTTGCCAGTCATTTTCTCTGAAAGTGTGCATAAGTGCGATTCTGGGGAGGGGGTACTCAATGTAATTCGGAGTTAGATACTTTGTGTTTTTATTATACTATGGGTTAAAAAAAATATTACAGAAACAGGTGCCTGAGGTCTGGCCACCTGAAGGTCCCTAGCAGGACAGAGAGGCTTCTGAAATTCAAGGGTTCTGCACGCATGTGTACGAAACTTTCCTAAGAATTGTCATAAGTTCTTAAGAATAATCATAGGAAAATTTTAGAATGATCATAAGACAAACGTAGGCAGGTAAGTCAAAGCTGACTTAGGGTCGTCCTAGACAAAGATGCCTAAAACCGCGCTAAGAAGTGAAATGAAGCCTAAGTATATCTTAGGACGTTTCTTAATCCTAAGATAGCTTTGTAAACATGCATGCAATTGCCTTGTAATTTTCCATCTTTACAACTGTGCTTCTACTTTATATGAACAATGAATTTCTGAGTTTTGACGTATGTACAGTTGAGCTCCACAAAATTAATTTATTAATAAGTAGTAGATTGATTGTATGTTATTTTACGTCCAATTCGAGAATCTTTCACTCATATAGAGAGGTCACCATATATCGGTAAAGGGCTTCAAATTTTGACCTTTACTCGGCACTCAGGGCCATTAAGCAGGGAGGGATATTTTCCGTGCCAACGCCTGCCGTGATACGGTCCTCGGTTTTTAAGGTCTCATCCGAAGGACCCACAACTTTCACTTCAAAGTGCCGATCGCATGGCGAAGGAACAGTTGCTACCCATTTTTAGCTCTACTGTTCAGAGACCAGAAGAGCTTATGCGATAGTAAGGTGTCCGTCCGTCTGTCTGTAAACAATTTTTCAAAACGCTACTCCTCCTACAGTTTTGGTCTGATTTCAATATAACTTGGCACAGAAGTAGACTACATTAAGATACATAATTCTATTTATTGTTGCGTGTTGCAAAGTTTCAAATCCAAGTGCTTCTTTCTTATATGTACAGACCAGTAGAGCTACAGTCTCATCAGAGACTTCTGGTTTATCGACTAAGGTCAGTCGCGGCCGAGACTCGAACTCACGACCTCCCGGTCACGGAGCGAGCGCTCTACCGACTGATCTATCGTGAACGGTGATAATAAGTAGTAGACAAAATTCTTACATTTTTAAGCATCGATTGTTTTTGAAATTATAGTACTCGAACATTGCACATTAACTCCTAATTGTGGAATAGACTAAATTAAACAAATTCAAAACTTATAAACGCTGGAAGGTGACAATGCAGATTTCCGAAGTTATAAATTATGAAAGAATAAAATTAAATTTTGTTGTATAGTAGCCTTTCCCCTGGAAAACTGGCATGTAACACTGAAAAAATTCCAATGGCATACATCGTGCCTTAATTTAGTTTCTTTTTTTATTTATAATTTATTGTATTTTAATATATTAAACTTTCTGCTTTGTTTTTACAAATTTTTATGGAAATTTAACTCCTCTGCTTTTACGAAGAGCGGAAAACCCTGAAATTTTTAGTGTCAAATTAAAGTGGACATGAAAGATTAAGTCCTTTAAGATAAGAAATAATAATCAATAAATCGCAAATAATTATTCTGAATGACGTCAGGAAAACAGGGGAGCTATTAACCGATTGGTTTCTGAAGATGGCAAACAACTCCATGGCAATCCTCTGTTTGTGTAGTAATGTGTTTTGTTTCATTATTTGCATTAACAAATATGTTTTGCTCGAAAAAAAAAGAACAAATGAAATTCCCTCCCCCTCCTTTTAGATAATATGTTTTTTTTATTATAGTATATGCTACAAATTTTAGAAGAATAAACACAATGGTAGAAAAAAGACATTAGCCTGGGGAAAGGAGGGGTTTCGAGATGCCCGGAACACCCCATCAAACCCCTTCAGAATTTTTATTTCTATAGAGATGGCATTTGTAATGTATGCTTTTCTTTTTTTTTTTCATGTCATGTCTAAATTTTTCATGTTCAAGTTCTTTTTTGAGTTGGATTCTTCTTCACTGACTATGATCCCTTCTCTGGAAGAAAAATCCTGGATCATCCCTTGATTACGCAGAAATTTGGCTGTTATCAGTTATTACTCTGGCTTTTGAATCCTCCTGGATTACCCCTTCATCAAAGTAGGATTTTTGCAATTGCATTTTCTGCATGTCATCTGTTAAATATTATACTGTATGATGGTACATATTGTCGCTTTGCACATACCGTCGTCGACTACAAATTGTACCTACGCTCACTACACATATTGTCATCCATCGGTACATTTTAAAACTAGCGACAGTATGGGCCGAGATGAACCTTTTTTTCGTCTCTGCAGAACGTGCGACAAAATGTACCTTACATCGACAATATGCATTTTGAGCGCATTTTGTTGGCAAAAGTACCGTTTTCAGAATGTGTTACTGGGGTAAGGGGGTGTGACGGTGTAGTTTGTCATTTTGTACATATGTCAGCAACAATATGCACCTATCCTTACTGCACATATTGTCGTCTATCGGCACATATTGTCATCCGCTGCAAAATTATACAATTGTAGCCGGTGACAATGTGTGGCTCCTCTCAATGCACATATTGTTGCCTCACTTCAGGGCGATGAAGACGATGATATCAAAAAATCATATCTTAGTTTTCGTGAGATGGCATGTTCACGGAAAGAAAAATCAAATGCTTCTCTGTATACACAATTGTCATTTTAAACCCGAAAGAAACTCGATGAAATTTTATATTTCATATACATCTGACCAAAATTCTCTCTCTCCCCGCTCTCTCTCTCTCTCTCTCTCTCTCTCTCTCTCTCTCTCTCTCTCTCTCTCTCTCTCTCTGAGACCCACCCACTCCCCAGTAAATTATTTTTCGCAACAATTATAAATGGCGATGAAGTGTGCAAATGTTCTCAATCCAAAGCGTCTTAGACGACAATATGAGTCGATGTACAAGGTATATGGAACTCGTAAATTTACTTACCTTGTCATTGGTCATTTGCAAAATTATTTTGTTGAAAAACATTCTGATTGTACACACAAGTACTCTGAAGTTTGTATTAAAAAGATGCTTGGGTTTCTGATTGACAATATCTATGTGGTTTTCGGAGATCAGGTCTTCCAACAATCTGTTGGAATTCCCATGGGTACAAATTGCGCCCCGTTGTTAGCAGAGCTAATTTGTATTCATATTAAGCAGAATTCATTCAAAATCTTATACATGGGAAAAAGAAATCGCTTGTTGTGGCCTTCAACTTGACATTTAGATATATCGACGGCATATTATCAATTAACAATAGTTATTTCCATTCATATGTCGACATGATAAATCGCAGTGAGCTTAGCTTGAAATAAAAGATACCACAGAGTCTGACACAACTGTTTTATATTTGGATATTTTACCAGAAAAAGACAATGGTAATCTAACAACAAAGCTTTATGATAAACGTGACTTTAACTTTTCAATCGTCAACTTCCCTGACGTATGCAGCAATATACCCTTATCACCTGCATATGGAGTGCATATCTCTCGGTCGATTCGATACCCAAGAACATGCTCCAAGTATGAACAATTTCTAAAACGAGGTAAGTTATAGATGAACAAGTTGATGAAACAAGAATATCAACAGTTTCGTTTAAATAATAATTTCATAAGTTCTATGGTCGATACAATGACCTTGTCAGCAAATACAATCTATCATTAAGACATATGCTATTGACGTTTTTCATGCTTATTGTTAGGTCATTATCTACACACTGAATTGTCGACGGATTTTTCCGTTATTTACCGATCATGACAAGGAGCACATGGCGGGTGTGATCGGTCGGTAGGGGATGCTCACTCCTCCATGGTGCGTGATCCCACCTCTGATGTTTTTGGAGGTCCGTGTTTGCTGTGCTCCCGATTTGTATTGTTTTAGTGGACTTTGAGCTTGAATATTGTTTGTTATCTCCATATTTCATAAGGTACATGGGGAGAAGGCTCGTCTCGGCACGTATTATCGCCGGCGTCAATGTATGGATGGACGACATTATGTGCACTCAGGATCGGTTCAAATTATCGCCGGCGACAGTATGTACAGAACGACAAAATGTGCCGTAACAAGGAGAAAGAACAACTCGTAATTATGCCCCCCTTCGAAGAAGGGAGGGTATATTGCTTTGCTGCTGTCTGTCGATCTGTCTGTCGGTCCACCAACAGTTTCCTTTCATTTTCTTCACAGAGGTTGAACATACTGAAATGAAATTTGGTATACAGATTTATCATAAGAATATCTAGGTCAAGCTCTGTTTTGGGTACGATCGAGCAATTTTTGGCAGAGTTATGCCCCTTGGACTTGGATTTTTTTGGTGGTGGGTGGTAAGACTTAGTGTTTCACAAACATCTCTTGTTTAAATATACCATTTTATTGCAGCTGCTTCGTTGGAGTTTAAACGAGTGTCAATTTTACTCGGACAACTTAGTCGAA